GGGGCTCGATCCCAGGACCCTGGGATCATAACCTGAGCCGAAGGCAGAGGCTTTAACCCACTGAGCCACCCAGGCGCCCCATAAAGATAAGTTTTTTTTTTTTTTTTTTTTATTTGACAGATAGAGATCACAAGTAGGCAGAGAGGCAGGCAGAGAGAGAAAGAGGAGGAAGCAAGCTCCCTGCCGAGCAGAGAGCCCGATGCGGGGCTCGATCCCAGGACCCTGGGATCATAACCTGAGCCGAAGGCAGAGGCTTTTAATCCACTGAGCCACCCAGGCGCCCCTCCACCAACGTATTTAAACCTCATAACAACCCATCATGTGGGTACTATTATTATCCCCATTTTACAAATAAAGACAATGAGGCAAACTTTTGTCAACATAGTACTGGAAGTACTAGCCACAGCAATCAGAAAAGAAAATGAAATAAAAGGCACTGGAATTGGTAAGAAAGAAGTAAAACTGTGAGGGGCACCTGGGTGGCTCAGTCTGTTAAGCGGCTACCTTCGACTCAGGTCATGATCCCGGGGTCCTGGGATCAAGCCCTACATCAGGCTCCTTGCTCAGCAGGGAGCCTGTTTCTCCCTCTCCCTCTGCCTCTCCCCCAGCATGTGTTCTCTCACTCAATGTCTGGCTCGCAAATAAATAAATAAAACCTTAAAAACAAAAAAGAAAAGAAATACTCCTAAATGACTGGAGAGTTTACATTCTACCGATCATCCTGATAAGGAAAAACTCAATGCTGTATTTCGTACAAAGGTCAGAAACACACTAAAAGCCCAGCAGGAATGATGAAGAGATTGAAGACCTATCTGTATGTACAATGGAATCCTGCGTGGTATTAAGAAGACTCAGGCAGTGTTGGATGTGCTGTTGCTGAATGATTTCTAGAAGCCAGTGTTAGATTTGAGATACCAGGTGTGGAACACTGAGCATCATATGCTAACCTTTACTTGTGGGGCTTTTGAAAAGAAACTACACAAATACGTTTGTCAGTGTATGTAACACCTCTAGAACAATATACAGGAAACTAGTAACACCCACTGCCTTTGGACATGGGAACACAGAGCCTGAGGCTCGGGGTTGGGAGGGATCCTGATTTTCTGTGTGCACTTTGCACTGTCTGACTTTTTAACCATGTCCATAACTGATCACTCAGAAAAACAAGAATACACACACACACACACACACACACACACACACACATTTTTTTGGATCACAGATGTTTTCTAGGACAAGGAATGGTCACAGCAGATGCCAAGACAGTTCCTACGAGGTATGAGTCCTGGCGTTCTCAGTTACTCGTGCTCCAGAGTTCAGCTCCTGGGAGTTTCCTAGTTCTGGGGCCTGGCTTACAGCTGTCAAGAGGCTCCCACATATAGACTGAGGGGCACAGGGGTCCACCTGGACACACACACACACATTCTTCAGGGCTGGGGCGGGTCTGGGGGCTTGGGGGGCATGGAAAACCTGTCACTTTTGCAGACTCTCAGGCCACCAGGTAGTCTGGCTCTCCTGAGAAATGCAGTGTGAATTCCTCTCATTCGCTTCACCAGGCACTGGGATTATTTCAACCAATCCTGCTCCCAGTGCAGATCAAAGTAGGGTCTGGTCAGGTGGCTGACAAGGAGGATGAGGGCAGGGAGGCTATTTGGGGAGCAGCCTCTGTCGCTTCCTCTTGGTCGAAGAACTTGACATTGCACCGCTCTTTAAAGCTCCCTAAATTATGGATAGACAGGTTCTCCCCTAACTCAAGGATACTCGTCCTTGTTCTGAATGATGTGAACAAAAGCCAGAAACTTCGCATTAAAATAATAGAGTGCTTTCAGTTTATTTTAAGATCTGTTGTCACACCATTCTGGGATCTGACCTCATCGGTTCTTAAAGGCTAAGTAGGGTTGCATACCATAAACACCAGGGCTGGAGACCTGGTCCAGCTCCGCCCGCTGAGTCAGCCTGGAGCAGGGCCAGGCCCCAGGGATGGAGGGATTGAAAGGGCTGGGGGTGCATTTCTCTGGAGAGAAAGCAAGCAGGCAGGCTGAGGAGACCTGCAGTCATTAACAAGTCCTTCCCCTTCTCTTTTAGCCTCATTTGTTGACAAATGCCAACATTCGTTATCAGCATATGTTTGTAAAAGACAGACTTTGAAAAGTTACCTTGAAGTCTGATCAGTTTACACAGAATTTAAAGACAGGACTAGTGCTTTCTTCTCTTTCTAACCTGTATGAAAATAGTAATGTCTATTGTCAGGTGATCTACAGTTTGAGTTTCTAACCACTAGGGGTTGACCTAACTCCACTAAAACCAACTGTACTTTAAACCATTTCTTCTGCAAATTATCAGGTTCCAAGATGACTGAATTATACTAATCATCACCTGTAATGTCTAGAACCATTTCTCCTAACACTGAAAGGCTTGATGTCAGAACAGAGGAAACGGTCTTGTCTGCGTTCAAAGACAAGGGGCAAAAGTAGAATAAGAAATAAGACAAATCAGAGTACATGAGAACCAGAAGGTCAAAAAGTCTCAGCCAGTGGCTTAGCTCACTGTACTGCAACCACCTGAGACACTCAGCCGGACAGCTCCTGTCCCCTTCCCTAATTCAGTCAGTGTCCCCAGGGCTGGGACCTTAGCACTGCATGGTAAGAAGCTCCAGGGTCCAGTCATATGTGATGCTGAGGTCCTAACAACTGTGAGAATCTAATGCTACTGTACCGAAGAAGAGATTGAGGCTCAGAGGGGCAGCTGTCCCAACCAGTCATATTTCCAAGTCAGTACTGGGGAAAGCCCCAGTCTCCTGACTCTCCATCCAGTGCTCTCTGGGAGGGAACATTCCCCTCCAGGGCACCTGGGCACCACATACATGTACATCCCACCACTTACGATTCGGTTTCTGGCAGTCTTCTTGAATGATATGGTGGATCTTTCTGTGCAGTTCTTTGTCTTCTCTGGTTACCTAAATGGGAAAAACAGGAGAGAGGGCATTTTTCAGTAATGAAGCGGTTGCATCACCCAGACTCCCAGACTAGTATTTAGGATGGTTTCTAAAGATTTCACAGTCATCATCATCCCTACACCAACAAGAGGGTTTTTGACACTTGGCCTATGTCAAAGCAGCTCTGTCACTATGCAGCTCACTGCTTTGTAGCTGGCCCAGAGGCACGCTCCCTAGGAAGGTGGTTTACCAGGGCCATGTCAAGAAAAACTGAAATTCTGTATTTTTTTTTTTTAAAGATTTTATTTGTTTATTTGACAGAGAGAGATCACAAGTAGACAGAGAGGCAGGCAGAGAGAGAGAGAGAGAGAGGGAAGCAGGCCGAGAGCCCGATGCGGGACTCGATCCCAGGACCCTGAGATCATGACCTGAGCTGAAGGCAGCGGCTTAACCCACTGAGCCACCCAGGCGCCCGAAATTCTGTACTTTTAAGGAGCAAATTTTTTCTCAAATATTTGTGACAGATTCATGAAGTTTCTCTTGCTCGTCTTTATATTCAAAGGGAGGCACAACTGATCAAAGTCTTGATCTCCACCCAGGACTCCTTCCTCTGGGCCCTGATACCTGTCTCATGTCTCATGAGTTTTCTTCTTTCTCCCAACCCCAAAGAAAAAGAAATGAAACAAAAACTGTCTGGAAAAGCTAGCAAGGGAGTACATCCAGCTTATCCATGGAAACACTTTCTGTCTCAAAGGCAAATATAGCAAAGCTCCTTTCTCAATTGGCCAGTAAGAAGGAAGCCAAGTAACCAGATGGGTTCCACCTTCATGTTCCATAGTAAATCTAAAAACAAAAAGAGAAAGAGAAAGGAAGGGAAAGAGGAAGGAAGGGAAAAACAAAACCAAACCAGCATGCAAACAAACTAATGTATCAGTAATTATGGGACGAAGACCAGAACGAATGGGGATCTTGACTCCCAAGGTTATTGTGAAGATTATCTACAG